GAGAGAGAGAGAGAGAGAGAGAGAGAGAGAGAGAGAGAGAGAGAGAGAGAGAGAGAGAGAGAGAGAGAGAGCGGGGCTGAAAAGAGAGAACACACGGGGTATAGATATAAATTTGCTCAAAACAGGGGTGTCGAAGAACACAACAAAGAAGGTCGTGCCCATGGTGTCGAACATTTCCTCTGAGAGGTCGAGAGGAGTTTCCCGAGAGAGACAGTGAGCGGGTGAGCGAGCGAGCGAAAGAGTGTGTGTGTGTGTCTGTGTGTGTGTGAGAGAGAGAGAGAGAGAGAGACAGAGAGACAGAGAGAGACAGAGAGAGAGAGAGAGATTGCTACGACTCCTGCCTGCGGGATGAGCAGCTATTGTTACACCAAACATGTTCACACTTTTTGCGTACTAGCCGAAAGATCTGATAAAAGCCCGACATCATCTTCGCTAACAGTCGTTACGTAAGCATACGAAGGATATACATTTGATGACTGGTGGTACCACCCACAGCAACCGGCGACCTTGCTAAGCTCGCGAAGCACACATCCCCGCTCGCTCCGACAAAAACCAAGGACCGTCTGCCCTCGCTACTACCCGCTACTCTCTAGAGGACAACGAAACATTACGAAGCGCAGTCTCCACTAGACGAGAAGAAGGACGGTCGTCTTCTCTGTGTGCTTGCCAGACCGGATTTTCGAAACGACTCCGCCCGGCGGACGACAACCCGTACACGACGAGTGCAGTGAGGGCCTGATCAGCAGGCCAGCCAGTCGATGCTGAACAGGAGCTTGAATTTCTGATCCGAGGAGTCGAGCGTCATAACGGCCTTCTTTCCATCCACTCGCACCTCCGAGTTGATGTTGAGGTTGGGAGCATTGTTGCAGTTGCTCCAGATGATCCTCGGCAGTATGTCCGTGAACTCGTAGTTGCCAGTGAACTTGCCCTGGATCGTGCGTGTCGCGTACGACGTCCCAGTTTGTCCCGAAATGTAGTAGCTCGTCTGATAGGTGCCCGTGGAGCTGTTACCAATGTCGGCGAAGCCGCGGCCCGTCACCTTCCCCAGCGTGAAGCTGAACCCGTCGGGATACTTCAAGCCCAGCGAGATCTGGCAGTTCTTCCGCTTGCCCGCCAGCCCGGAGTCCGTCGTGGCAATCATCCCGCCGAACATGACGGTTAGGACCTTATAGTCGTTCGACAGCACGTAGTTGGTGTTCCCCCAGTTGCAGCCCGAGCCCGTAAAGGTGACAGAGTCGATGGTCACCAACGGAGGCTGCGCTCGTGCGGGGACCGCAACACACACAACCGCGACCAGAAGCAAGGCCGCCATACTCGCCACACCATTCACAGAGCGCGCCATGATCGTGGTCTTCAGCTCCGCACTCCGCCTCCTCGCCTTTCTACCTTGCGTACAGTTCGTCGCGTCCTCGAATCTCGCGCTCCCTCCCTTCAACCGACTTCACGCGGTGGCCTCGCGCACCCTCCTCGGTCAAGCGGTGGATGAACACTCCAGTGGTGGATGGAACGACTTCTCCGAAAGCGGTAAGGATGATAAAAGCCGGATGCTATTGCTTCCGACTCCCACAAGTCTTGCCTTAATATATACACAATGCCAGGACTCGGCTCGCTGATGCGCTAATGTGATGTGAAGCGAAGATAGCCTCGCCTCCTCAAGCTGGGAAATGTCGCTGCAGGAGCTGGGGTAAATATCAAAGCGAATGTGGACGTGGGTACGGTCAGATGCGCTCAGTATGCAGGGCGTACCCACCTGAACGAAGACCTAAGTACAAGCTACAAACGCCAGTTGGCTGAATGGTACACCCGATCCAGTTGGCGGAGTGCTACAGCCGATCCAGTTAGGGGAGTGCTAAACAGACAAACAATGCCTCGCCACACCACCCCGAAATGTGAAAAAGACAAAAACGTGGAGGGTGCATGTGGCCATGTTCTAGCGGAAGTTCATTGTCATTTTGCACATTTCGAGAGTGGTGTGGCGATGCCCTATGTTCGAATCTGACATTGGGGACGGTTTAAATCTGACATTGGGGACGGTTTGTCCCAAATAGGGGCACGCTCAGACTGGCGTACCAAATCCACGTACATAACCCCTAAAATCCCGAAAAAATAGTGTGGAAGGAGAGTCAGCGGCTTGACTGAAAGTCGGGGTTTGATTTTTTTGGAGACGACTGGGTAGGGTTAGAAGGCGAGTTCTCTTGCCCTCCACTGGACGAAGGGTCAGTGGCCCGCGGAGTATTCGCCGCCAGGAAGGGTCTTATTTCCAGGAATGGCATACCGTCATTTCGAATCAGAACCAGGGGGAGGCGTACCAGCGTGTGGTACCAAGGCTTGCACTGTCACTTACCCAGGCTCTTTGGCCAGCTGGCCGATAACGGGAAGGACGTGCTCTGTATCTGGACAAGAGGGTCAGGCCATCGGCATAAGTTTCCGAGGGGCCGAAGACGTGAAGATCAGCAGGTGGAGAGTTCGAGGTCGGAGGCCCATGAGGGCCTTCTGAGCCTTTGGTAGTATCATTTGGGACAAACCCGGCAACCAGTAACTGTACCCCAAAGAGGGTAGGACCAGCAGTGTCATTTTGGGGAAGGCCTATTTCAGCAGGGCTATTTCTGCCCCCATCCTTGCTGTCCGGAACCCGACGGCGCTTGACTATTTCCCACCCGGGCGGCTCTCTATACTGGCCTTCGTCTTTTGGCGGTTCTTCTCGTCGCGACGCTCCGTTCCTGGTACCTGCAGCAAGGCGAACGGTTGTATCAGCTATCTCGCTTTCCCCGGGTAACCTGCCTAGAAGGTAAGTATACGTCATCCTGTTTTCTACCATAGCCAGCTAGCTATTTCAGGTAACTTTCGTCCTTTATTTCCCAGAGCTTCCTTTTTTTTTTTTTTTTTTTTTTTNTTTTTTTTTTTTTTTTAATACAAAGCCCTGGGTGATGCTAGAGGTGCTGGTGTAGGCAGCCACCGCTAGCACCCCCAGGCAGACTCCATCTACTGGTGGGGAGCAGCACCTGCTGGAAACCGGGTCCAGAGTCCCTTACATTTGAAAAAAACATGAGGAATCATGAGATAGCGTGCTGGAAACCAAGTCCGGCATCCCATCGCCAACTATCCTGTGCTTTCCTGTACTTTCCAAACCTAAAACCTTGGGCTGGGGCCCAGCGGGGCCACTGGGGGGCACCAGTGGTCCCTGTCTGTTCCCCAGCGTACCGCACTATCCTTTAAGAACCTCTTCTCTCTCAGGAGGAGGGCACCAGAAAAAACAGTACAAACTGGAGCTATTTTGGCCTTGGTTCTACTTACTGTAGACTGCTCAGCAACCTCCAGACTGCCTGCTTAACTTCAAGAAACTTCCCTTCTCGGAACTTCACGACCTTTCCTTCTTTTTTTTTTTCCCTTTTTTTTTTTGAGAAAGGCCCTTGCGCTATCCCTCTATCCTGGCAGTGGTAAGAGAACCGTCAGAATTGAGGGCTTGCCTGTCGGGCTGCTCCATCTATTGGTGGGGAGCGGCACCTGCTGGAAACCGGGTCCAGCGTCCCATTGATACATAGTGTAGCACAGAGATTGGTGTTTGTTGTTTCCTGGGGCTGTGATTATTATTGACTCATCCTGGGGCTCCATCATCCCCTGGAGCTGCTAGTATCACCCTTCACGACCTTTCCTATTTCTACCAGCACGGAAATCCTCCGTTGGCTCGCTACCACTATTAACCCCGCTACCACTATTAACCCCTACCGTTCAACCTGGCCCAACGCGGTAGTAGTAGAAGCAGCCTGGACCAGGGCTTCACTCACACTTCTGTTCCGCCTTCCACTCTAAGCTGGGAAACCCCACCTTTGCCTGTTTTCCCTTTTCGAGCGAGGCTTCATTCCAGCAACCAGGAGATCCAATGCAACTCACCCTCTCCGGATTAACTAGTCCCACCACCGGCTACTCAAACTTCGGCCTCACTCAACCAGCGGCCGGAACGAACAACCAGCCGCCTCTAAGTCACCCATTTTTTCGATCTCGCAGCTAGCCCTCGTCTGTTGCCACTTTGAGAAGAGACTGCCTTCCTCTCACTTTGGCCCGACCCCCATATTACGGACTGTTGCAAGCACAACCACCATCCTCGCCTCCTCTTTCAGTAGGTAAAAGGCTGCACCTGGTTTCTTCTCTCCTAACATCTGAGCGAGAGACAATGGCATCTAGCAATTCATGGGGCACCTTTCCCGAACTCATGGAAACGTACTGCAGCAATGGAGGCATCTCCATTTTCTGTGCAGAGAATTGCCCTCTTCACAACCTTTGGGATCGCATGCAGCTTGAAGGCGCTACTCCCTGCGAATGTCAGAAGGAGGCTTGGAAACGCTATCAGAGGAGGAGAACGGTCGAAGCAGAGAAGGTATTCAACTACTTTATTTCTCTACCTCACATCTGCCTCACTCTCCTACTTTCTATCATTATAACCCGTACACTTTAACCGGTACAAAAAAAAAAAAGGGGGGGGGAGAGCTGCCAGTCCTCTCTTAGCCTCTTTGCTAATGAGCCCACCCTGACTTACCTCTTGAATCACCCTCCTTTACCAAGCGATCTTTATAATCCGGATTCTTTTCCCATAGTTATCGTCCCACCTTCTCCACAATCTACACTATTCTCCTCTTTTCTCTAAACTCAACTTCTCCCAGACTCCGTAACTCCTATCAACTTCACCCTCCAGCAGCCCAAGATCGGGGAAGAAATGAACGAAAGGGAACCCACTTCTAGTATCTTCACTAACCCTCTCTTCTAGGATCCGACTTCACCTGCACTGTTTCTGTTACCTAGACTACCCCGCATTCAACCTTTAGACACTCACTATCACTTGTCTCGTAGTAGATTTCTTCCTCACCTCTTTCAGCTTCCATCTCGAGAGGCTTCGAAACTGCAGAGGGATCAGGCAAGGCAACTCTTTACTTACTAATCAACCTAGTAACTCACGCGAAAGAAACGATAATCAACCTGAGACTGATGAACGAAGGGCGGCTCGGACCTTTAATACCTACTGTCGCCACCGACCAAAAAAAAAAAAAAAAAAAAAAAAAACAACAGGAGGAGGAAACTCTTCCCTTCACTAATGATCGGATTAAAACTACCCTCACCGAGCCATAAAACTCCTACTAGCACTAAACTCGTAGAAATTTCTGTTTTCTTCCCTCCTTTCCTTCATTATTGTGAGGATAGAACATACCCTTGTCCTTCTTCACTAATTTCCCCTCCCTTTCTTCGATTGTTTGAATTAAACGTTTTCTTCTTTGCTGTTCTTCCCCCTGTTCTTCTTTCTCTACTTGTCTTTCAATTATTTTCCCTGTTTTCTCCCTGTTTTCTCACCGCTTTCTCCCTCCCTTCACTTTTGTTTTCTGATGAAAACCCTTCCTCCTTTCTCGGACCTTCTTTCGCTGTTCTCTTCACCATACTTTAAAAAAGAAAAACGGGAGGAGAAAATCGCTTTCTCTCTCTCTCTCTCTCTCTCTCTCTCTCTCTCTCCAGCCGCGCGGTTCGAATCTGCAAAACGGGAATGAATTTTCCCGTGCTGTCGGGAAGATTCATTCGCGTTTGCTAATTCGAATCTCTCTCTCTCTCTCTCTCTCTCTCTCTCTCTCTCTCTCTCTCTCTCTCTCTCTCT